GTTTCGTATTAAGCCCTCCCAATTAGAAAAGATATTTGTTCTATTTAAGTTAAAAACTACCCAATTTCTGTGATTCGGTGAAGTTTAATTTACTGCGGCTCCTACGAAGATATTGAGATGAGGTAATAACTCTTTAAAGAAAGAGTGGCCTCTTATTTTCTCCCTGCAACGTTATTGCCCATTTGCAGTTAAAACTCTTTCAAACCAACAAGGGAAACTATCGTTTGCTCAGCGTCCTCAAAATGGCGATTGCACTGTGTTTTTTTATGACACGAACTTAAACAGTTGTAATTCCGCAATACATAGACACTAAAATAGTTTTCTATTGTATTTAGTGGAAAACATGTATTCTTCAGCCCGAAAGTTCATGTAAACTTTTAGAATATGCCCTTTTACAGGTTACCGTCTAGTTGCTACCGGTCATCTTAATAATCGTGTGGTAGTATGACAAATGGAAGAGTTGTACTAACAGTCCTGCGCGGTCTCTGTTCTCGGTTGTTACGTACAAATGGAAAAAAACTAGCACTACCAACATGATACTTTCCTGCTGAACCTAATGTACAGTGCTGAAAAGACAAAATCCCCATAGGAGATTATGCACCCAACAGGCGCCAGAACATATTTATTTTTCAGAAGACTAGTTGCAGATCTTACGTTTGCTCTTAATAAATTCTCGTTAAGCCAAAAAGTAAGCAGACGCAATGTGCCTTTCTCGATGTTTGCGAGAAAACGCCTTACATAAAACTGAAGCGCCGGCGTTCAAAGTTGTAGAGTTTAGCACGCCAGTTTCCTGTAACCGCTTAAACAAAAAAGCGGCATACTGGCAATTCGACTCACGTTCGTGCCCGGTTTAATCGCTTCTACAAAACTGCCCAGAATTTTGTATGTGAAATAGACGCAAATAGAACGGTGTTACTCGTTTTGGAAAAAAATGAGTTGCGCAGAAATCTGCTATTTCATACGCCCACTGCAGATATTTGTTTAAATCCTCTGCAGAAGTTTCACCAAACTTGTTTTTACGGCTGTATGACGCAAATCCGAAGACTTCGGTGTAAAATATGGAATTCTCCACTGAAGTTGATAGTCCTTCACTCGAGTATTTGCATATACATAAAGTCAAACCGAAAACAAGACGTCTATTTTGTCCTAACTGCTGAATGCTGCATATGGAATGTCTGGGTAGAGCCTACACGTTTTGAAAATAAGAGGTCTGCTTCGATCAGTGGAAATGACAGCCGTCTGATGACACGCGTAAACAGAGGCGTTAGGCCTAATTAGCCCCAGTTCCTCGACCACCTGGCTACTTTTCATTAGCTGCAAAAGTTATGTAGAGTGAGCGGCAGAAATCTTACAATAGAACCCAAGCTTTAACCAAGCACTTTGGTCTAGTGGGTAGTTTTCCTACGAGACCAAAGTAGGGAACCGCAAGAGAGCTCGGCGGTCACCTGGGAAGTCTAAGTAAGCCTACTGCTGAAAACAGCATTTGCCTCGCACGGACAAGGGGGTCAGAAGTATTCTTTAAATAAACGTTCGTTATATGGACGTCTACAAGCTGACTGTGACTAAGGGCCGTTTTCTTTTGAATGACATAATGGCCAACCGGCCAGAGGGGAGGATCGCTCTGATATCATGATCAATAGCTTTCTTCAGTGTGAAAACCTGTACCCAGCGAGACCGGCTTGTCGGATAAAAGGCAGCTGAAATAAGTCGGTACACGAAAGCTTCATTCTCTCCTTCCAATGATACTTCACCTCCTGCGGGAGAGATTCGCCACTCTTACCACAGACTGCGTTCACACAATGACACGGCGCATAGGACTTCTACAGAGGTCTGCACGTCCTAGCTGCGCCTGTGCCGAAGTTGGACAAAGGTCATACTAGATGGGCACTGCTATGACCCGGAAGGAAGGTAGGACAGGAAGAGAACCGGCTCGGAGGACAAGCAATTTGATCAGAAGAAGAAGCGATCGCTGGAACAATGGCTTTATTCGCCTGACGTTTCGGATTCTCTCTTGAATCCATCATCAGAGACAGTTGCAGAAAAGGGTGGCTAGTGTACAGGCAGTCGCAGTATTTATAGGATGCGGTCGCCATGCTACCGCATACCTACAGCAATTAACCGTGCTCCCTTCATCAAGGATTGTTGCCCGCAGGTGCGCTAATTGCTTTATGGCCGGCATGCAAGTTGTTAATTGCTGACATCTCATCACCCGTGTTGGATGCTGGCGAGATGATTGCTCGGCCATCTGGCTCACGTGCTTGCGCGCTCCTCGAGTGTACTGCGACTGCCTGTACACTAGCCACCCTTTTCTGCAACTGTCTCTGATGATGGATTCAAGAGAGAATCCGAAACGTCAGGCGAATAAAGCCATTGTTCCAGCGATCGCTTCTTCTTCTGATCAACTAGTTCCTGGAACTCGCATTCTCGCTTGTATCGACAAGCAATTTGCTGACAACCTGCGGACACGAGGGGTTACAACTCGCCAGAAAGATGCTCTATTTATGTTGGTCCCTGTGCGTTCTGGAACCTTCCGCTCAATGGCGTGCCAGCCGTTGAGGGGCGTTCTAGAATGTTCTTGCGCGGGACGTGTTGGTCGCTGATTGGCCACCGCGTGCGCGATGGTCCCCCGCGGGAACGTCTGAAATGTTCGGCCAGCCATTGATTGGTCCGCGCGCGTGAGCAAAGCCACCACACATGCTCGGCGCTGCAGTGTGCGCCGGTCGGCCGTCTAACTTCACGCGTGTCTCACGCAGCAGGCTAAGTCCCCTGTTCAGCGCCTTAGGCTGTGGCTCAACGCCCCTAGCCCTCTCCATAACAGGCACTATGCTATCTGGGCGGGTTGCTTGATCTCACGGAGGAGACTCCTCCGATGTCCACGGACTACTTCTGATGAGAACCTGTGCAGCAAACAACCCCTTCGTCACAGAACACGGCCACACTAGACCCGACCGAACGCAGACGGGTAATCAACAATGAATTACCGTTGTGCTTCGCGAAGAAAGATCGTCCTTTATTGCTTCAAAACTTTCGATGTTCATCTCTTTTATACATTTGGGTTTTTACGCGTTTTGCAACAGAGAGAACTAAACGCGCCTAATGATTTTCTTACAATCCGCCCATACAGCCTTCCGACAGTTAACCGTCGATTCTCCGTTACTTTTTTTCAATCATGTCTACACATGGATAACTGACCTGGGTTACGGACCCGCTAGCTTGAAAACGCTAACAACATCATAAAGGATGAATGCTGCCATTAATGGACGGTTTTGTTTGCTTTGCTATTAGGACATTCAACTGGACCTTGATGCAGCCAAACAGCGGTTGGTAAGTCGATTAATAGCCCAAGACCTGATGAGAACCTTATTTTTGTCTATCTTCAAAGACTTTTCAGTATCCTACCGTGCTCTCAAATCGCGCCAGGTTTTCTAATGTAAATTTTGTAGAGAAAGCATTAATTTGTAATATATTCGACACGTCTCTAACGATGA